GATAAAAAATTCATTTACATTCTGCATTTTTGTTAAATATATATTTTAAGTACTTTATTCAGAGCTTTCATATTTTACATAGATAGTTAAATAAGTGCTGGACTCTATTCGGGTGTAAATTCAAATTTTTTTATATTTAAATATATGTATTTATTGATGTGTATATATGTATTATACAATAGTTTTGAAACGTTTCATTTACAAGGGGAAATTTAATTTCGTTTCAATGTATTAGTGTTTTTTTGTAGATATTCAAATAATTGCATTAAATACTTTTGCTAAACATATTTATTTAAATATTATTTTACCACACCATATGCAAGCATAATAGAAATTGTTAATTGAAAAGTTTTTTTTAATAACGAAAGTCAAGTGCGAAAACATAAATTTCATTTATGTGCAAAGTTTTTTTTTTATAAATTGTTATTTAACTGTTTAATAGACATTTATAGAGCTTTGAGTCTTAACTTTAGTTAATTGCACTAAATATTGGCATTGGAATTATGCTAAATGGGCTTTCCATAGATTGAAATGTTAATTTTTCAATGGGCTGTCTTTATGTTTGTCCTCCTCTTCTACTTCTTCTTCTTCTCCTTTTGATTTATCTATTGAATTTGTAGTGTTGTTTTGTCATCGGCGTCAGTTGGTGGCATTTACTTTCTAAAGCAGGAGATGGGATTGAAGTAGCACTGCCTGTACCTCACTTGGCGCTTGCTCTCGGGCATGCGGAACAGCTCGTTCATGTTGCCGTAGGAGGGGGTGCGTAGATAGGCGCTGTAGCTGAAACGGATTCACCAAGGAACATAAAGATCAGTGAAGGAGAGAGACCTATTTGACGTAACCTACGTGGGTCTGTACTGCGCGAAGAGCATCTGCAGGCGGTCCATGGGCAAGTTTGGGTAGATCGCCTGGGCGGGCATCTCATAGCCGCCGTAGGCAGCACGCACATCCTCAGCATCCTGTTGGTCCAGTCCATCAGTTTCCTGTAAGCAAATGGCTCCAGCTGGTTAAACTTGGTCAAAAGTAAGTCTAGGCCTCACTTACAGCATTCGCCTCCGCTGCGGAGGGTCGCGCCTCGTTCACGGCAAAGAACACGCTCAGCAACAGGCCGTAGCACAGCAGAATTTGCCCGAATTTCACCATTTTTTATAAAGTTTCTTTACTGTAGGGCTGAAAATATAAAGAAACCAAGTTTAAGAAATTATACAATATTACAGATAAATTTCTACATTTATATATTTACGTATTCACATTACATTTATCGAATGTAAATATTAGAAATAAATTAATAAATGTATATATAAGTATTGAATTAAATTTTACTTCATTTCTATTTTACCATAAACAAAAGTGAATATATGTTGCATTCCAATATCGCAGGCTCGTTCTATTTCGCATCCAAATCAAAGTGCAAAGTTTGCATGCAGCTCATATCATAATTCCGTTGAAAGGACAAAGGGCAATCAGAGCCAATCTGCTGTGGCTAAGCTGCCAGGATAATGGCCCGTAAGCAGGCAGTGCGGCAGGACGCGGGCAACGGGAAACGAAACACTTGTTGCCACAAACGTGACCCGCATTGCATTGTATAAGTATATGCCGCAAAATGGGGTGGAGCGGGCTCAAACAGGCTGCAGCATAAATGCATTTCCGCAATTAAAATCGGATATGAACTTGAAAAGCACAGCACAATAGAGAGAGAGAGAGAGAGAGAGAGAGAGAGAGAGAGAGAGAGAGAGAGAGAGAAAGAGAGAGTGAAGGTGAGAGAGAGCCGCAATAGTGCAACATGCCCGTTGCCATAGCTGCCACGTGCGGCTCTAACAACTAGACAAGAAAATGTTTTCCAACTTTAATTGAATTTGCGCCGTGAACGTGATTCAAGAGACGAATTCTCAGGAGACCCTGAAAGGGCTGCCGCCGTATTTGCATTAGGGGCGCTCCCTTTGTGGGCGATTACGCATTCAGCAATTTTATTTCCAAGCAACAGCTGTGCAGCAATCAAACCTTTGCCAACAATTAATGCATTACACAAAAACATTTTAATTGTATTACGAATGAATCAGCTTAAAAATAAATTGCCGAAAATATTTGCCTATTTTTAGTCTTTATTTTTCAAGCAGAGAAAGTCAACAAGTCCCCACTGTGCATTGATTAGCAGAAAGTATTACCATAAAAATTAGTTGCTTATTATCAAGTGTAGACGGCTCCAATTCAATAGTAAAAGCCAATCAATGAAATTGTATACCCTGTACATATACTAAGAGTGTGGTACATAGGTTGTTATAGAGTTACGTGTTGAGCATATATATATCATCAGTTAAGGATCCAGGGATAATGAGAATCCTGAGTTGGCATCTTTTAGTAATGGGAAAAACGGTATATTGTCTTTTAACTAGGGATCATATTAAAATATTTACTATGTATATACTCCGATTCTTTATTGAATATAAGCCATTATTTATTTGTTTCCGATACGATCCGATATTGCAATAGAACCACCATCCAGCTGATGATGCAAGCAATATTGCTCAACCAGGTCGCAGTGCTGCAGGTGAACAGGCCGAAGGGTTTGATTTTCATAGGGAAGCAAGTAATTTGCAGAGAAAAGAGATCACACTGAAAGAAATAATACGGTATATAAAGAGTACGCCAAGAGGAGGTTCAAGTGGCGAGTGGTACCCCTCTAGAGAGCTGCGGATCGGGCTGATCGAGCTCATTTTGTTGTTGCAGTAGAAGCAAAGTCTTTTGGTGTTCATTCACCGTGCAATCCAGGATCAGATCAAGAACATAGCCGTCGACAGCAATAAGAGCATACAGACCATAGCCCACGATCTGATAGACGGTTTGATCGCTTCGAAAGACGCTTATGTAGTAGCCCAGAGCTGCTGCTGAGACAATCATGCAGAGGCGATTGCTTATCATGATGACATCGTAGGCAGCAGTCAAGTGTTCCATGAGGGCGGTCAATTTCAGGTGTTGCCATCGCAGGTGCTGCAATTCCAGGGTATCCTCTGGCGAGTTGCCCCGAACCAGTCGCCTTATGTGGCTGTTCAGTCGCATGTAGAGTCGACAAATGCGCCAGCTGAGCAGGAAATGCAAGTGCATGGTGACATCCTGGCTGTCTATGGCCAGAAAGTTGAGCACAATTAGCAGAGACTCCACATACATATTATTCCCCGTCAAGCCAAAAAATTGCAAGGCAATAAACGAAAGGCTGAGAAGAAATCCGACGAGCAGCCACAAAATACAATTCTTGACGAAATAGATGCACTGCAGCCGCCGCATGTCCTCTTTGTCTCGCTTATCCTTCCTCGATCTGCGATATCGATAGAGTTCGCTCATGCATCGTAGCTCCTGGCTAAGGTTCCTAGTCGCTCGCTCCCGCGACACCCGCTGCAATATCCGCACCAGGCAGACAACATCGTTAACGGTGGAATCCAATTGGATTGTTTGACCTGTTACTCCTGTCAGGCACACCACATCGAACCACACCCAGACCAGATCCGTTATTGTAATCCCGAACTGCAGCACATTGGACACACTGGCGATGAGCTGTGTCCACTTGGTGTTTCTGAATAGACGCTGCCTAAAATCATAGCGATAGCTCGATGCACCGATGAATATCGCATAGTAGGCAAAGAGCTCATAGAGCAAACGATGTAACCGGCGTGCCTCCATTATTCGAATACTATATATAAGAGTCGCCCTGGCGCTGAATCAATAGTCTTGAATATATAATTCGATGTTGCGTGCGGCCAGACAGCGATTAATTAATCAATCAATCGCCAGACAGCGATTAATCAATCAATAAAACATTTCCCCTTATTAAGGCATTATAAGCTCGAAAGCTCGAGTAATGACAATGACAATGACAATGACAATGACAATGACAATGACAATGACAACGACAATGACAATGTCAATGACAATGACAATGACAATGACAATGACAATGACAATGACAATGACAATGACAATGACAATGACAATGACAATGACAATGACAGTGACAATGACAAGATAAAAAATATTTATATTCATAAATATATTTATATATTAATTTATCTCTTTTCCGAGACGATCTTATACTGTAATAGAACAACCATCCAGCAAATGATGCAAGCAATATCACTCAACCAGGTGGCAGTGCTACAAGTGAGCAGGCCATAGGGCTTGATTTGCATGGGAAAGCTAGTTAATTGCAAAGCAAATAGATCAAACTGAAAAAAAAAATATAATAGTATATAGAGAATGTATGTAGAGAGTAGCTACCCCTCTTGAGAGCTGCGTGTCGGGGTGGTCAAGCTCATAGTGTTGTCGTAGAAGAAATTACGTCTTTTGGTGTTCATTGATCGTGTAGTCCAGGATTAGATCGAGTATGTAGGCATCCAGTACAAGTAGGGCATAGAAACCACTGCCGACTATCTTATAGATAGTCGGTAAGCATACAGATAGGCTAATGTAATAGCCCATAACAGCAGTGGTTATAATCAGCGAAAATCGAGTGCTTATCAGGATGATATCGTAGGCACTGGTCAATCGCTCCATTAGAAAAGTCAGTTTCAAGTGCAGCCGGCGTAGATGAAGAGCTTCCAGTGCATCCGCAGGCGAGTTCCGTTCGACCAACTGCCTCATGCGACTGTTGAGACGCATATAGAGCCTACAAATTCTCAAGCTGAGCAGGAAATGCAAATGCATTGTAACATCCTGACTATCGAAGGCTAGGATTTTGAGGATCACAAGCATTTGTTCTATATATAATTTGGCTTGCCTCAAGTTCATGAATTGATAAGACTTAATCAAAAATGTGGACAGAAATCCTGTGAAAATCCACATTATGCAATTTTTCGCAAGATAGATGCTGCGTAAACGTCGAATGTCCCGTTTGGAATGCTTGTCCTTCCTCGCCCAGGATTTGGGACAGAGCCTGGTCAAGGACTCCAGCTCCTGCTCAATATTCTTGGTCGACCGTTCACGGGGCACTCGCTGCAAAAGCTGCACCACGCAAACGATATCGTTGACCGTGATGTCAAGTAGGATTATTTCGCCCGTGACCCGATCTTCGTTTACGTAGTCAAGCCAGAGCCAAGCCAAATCCGATAATGTAACACTGACTATTATTAGATTAGACAAACAGGCGATTAGCTGTGTCCATTTCGTATTTTTATACAGACGCCGCTTAAAATCGTAGAAATAGCTCGTGACACCGATGAATATCGCATAGTAGGCAAAGAGCTGATACAGAAAATGTTGCAACCGATGCACCACCATCCTTCGAACACTGACAGCCAGCGACTGGGCAGGTTCGGCTATTTATGAGTGAGGCCGCCAATCTAGGAAACTCATCTAACAAGCCAGTCGAATTATGGAATACCAATAATGAGCTGCACGCCACGGCAATGGCAATGGCGATGATGTTAACAGTGGTAAAAGTACTAACAATAATTAAAAAGTTAAGGTAGTGTGTGTGTGTGTGTGTGTGTGTGTGTGAGAAAGGGGGGTCTACTTAACATCCATTTAAAATGCAATACACAAAAATTCATTCGTCGGTCAATAATTCAAGGGATCCCAACAGACAGGATAACTGGCCGCCGTCACTAATTAGACTCGAATGAATCAAACATAATTCGAAAGAAGAAGAAGAAGAAGCAGCTGTGGCCAGGAGTCGAGTTGAGACATCAGAGGCGAATAGCTTTACGCTTCTGTGGAGGGCAATTTGCAGGTCCTGATTTAAGTGCCTCCGTCAAACAGTCACACGCGTGTCCCATCATCTCTGACTAATTACGGGCATGCTAATGACATCAAGTGGGCGGCAGCTAATGGGCGTGGCATCAAAAATGTCGCATGAATATGTGAGCAAGCAGGTCATAAATTGCCGCAGGTAGAGCTCAGCAACAGGTATCTGTGTGTGTGTGTGTGTGTGTGTGTGGCATGGGCATCAAAAAACCAAATACGAAACCGAAACTCAATGAGGCAAGCCGTAAATGTTAATGTCTCTTGCCACAAGCGACTTCAACGTGCCACCAAGTCGCCTGTTGCAACAGCAGCAGCAACTCATAAACTGTGGCAGCTGCAAAGACAGCTGAATTATCGCATCTCTCATTTTTTATGGTTACTCAACATTCTTTATGCTGCCAGGACTTTATGCAACCAATAGAAAATGAGAATCTAGTCAACTATAAAATGTCAATTGCTCTTAAAAAAAACTTAATTGTATTTGGCAAGATGTCTAAATAGTTTATGAAAGTATACTTAAGGGAAATATATAACTTTCCTATGTCGTGCCTCGAATGTGCAGAAATACATAATAAGGATACAATTTACATATAAAAATGTTGGCATCAATTTAAATAATGCAACATTTTATAGCATACTTTTAAGGGCGATTTCTCCAAATATATTTTGTTTTGTTACTTTGTTACTCTGCATTTCTACATTTTTCTGAGAGGTGTATTACTTGCATAACAAATGCTAAAAATATGTTAAACAAATGAACTACGACTACTCGCCCCTTTCAATGACATGGAAAACTAAATTTTAAAAAACGAATTTAATTTAACTTTTTTATATATGGCTCATACCCTATTTACAACAGGCTCTACCGACTAACCCATAAAGCTGTTAAGCCCTGTCATAAAAATGCACAAACCAAAATCCAGGTACAAATGTTTGACATGCAAAGCGACGCATGCAACAGTTAATACCAGACGCGTAGATAATTATAATGCCCCACACATATATACATACATATATCTATATAGTAGCTGGGACAACAAGTCATAAAACGCTTAATAGATAGGGAAGCGACAAAAAACAAAAAGGTGTCATTCACATTGTCAGTTTGGTTCAGTTCGAACGCGCAATAAATGAAACTAATAACACGGAAACGGTCAGGGGGGGAGGGGCTGTTGCGGGGGTGGCGCAGTGCCTGGCTGCAGTGTAGACACTCCAAGTGCTGGCAAGCAGCATACGGCAAGCGCTGGCTAAAGCTGAGAGATCAAATGGAATAATAAGGCGAGGTGGGCGGCAGGGGGCTGGGCCAGCAGCAAGCGAGCATAATCAGGACACTTTTATTGCGGCTGATAAATAATGCGTCAATGTTAATTGGAAATTTAATATAGGGTAGACACAGACGAGCTGACTGCAAAGCGGAGAGACAGAGAGAGAGAGAGAGAGAGAGAGAGAGAGAGAGAGAGAGAGTGACCGAGAGAGTGAGTCAGAGCAAAAGAGTTGTAATGCAATTTTACACACATATCTCACTCTCACTCCCACTCTCACTCTTTCTCTTTCTCTCGTTCTAGCTTACACGGCTTATGCAAAGCTTTGCTGCAAGCGGCTTAATTTTGTAATTTTCGCACAGTTTTCCATCAATTTTGCCCAGTTTTTCTTTTGCGTCCGTTTTTAAATGAACGTTGGCGGCTTTCCCTCTTTGTAGGCTGTTGCTTTTCGTGATTTATTTGACGGTCATGCGATACGCTGTTTGATGATGAATGAAAAATTACAAGTCTGAGCCGCGCCTCGTGTCTGACGCACTTGTGACACGTTCTCGTTTCCTCTCCCTGCCACCCCAGCCCCAATCCGCAAATATGCTCAAAAATTTCTGAGGCGCTGCCTACGTTCCATTTGAAACTTGAAACTTATCTCAAGTATTATCAAATTACTCTGCTAGTTGCGGTCTTTGCGGCTTTCGGCTAACAATTGCAACATCAAAGGCTTACGTGAGGGAACCCTCTATTAAAATTTGCAGCTACCAAATATTTGTCAAATTAAATGGGAATTCGAAATGGAGAAGCCTTTGTTTTGGCGGAGATAACAAGGATTTCCCCACTTAAAAGTGAGTCTCTTGGCTTGGAATCAAATATCTGCCAATACAGTTTTAGATTTTAACAAGGTGTAATGCGGATGAAATTACTGTTATATAATTATTCCAAGATAAGCTAAAAATAGATTGAAACGAAAATAATTAAAACATGAAACATATTTATTCCCCTAAGAGTAAAACCTCATGAATTTATTTAATATATTGACTTAAGTTCTTTTTTGTTGCTGAACAATTTATTGCATTTATGATTGGGAAAAGAAGGATATAATCGTTTTGTGGAATTGTATGTAAAAGGTAGACGAAGATGAATATATATTCTTGATCAGGACGACGAGCTATGTCGATTTGGCTCTGTCCGTCTCTCCGTTCGCTCATCTCTCCATCCGCATGAGCACTAGGATCTCTTAAAGAGATGATAGAGACTCGAAATTTTGTATGTATATTCGTGGCGATAGCTCATCCTGTTTCTCTATATTTTTCTAACTTTTCTTGAAACTAAAGAGTATTTTCAAGCTACTTTGAAAGTGATAAACATGCTGTGTTACTTAAACTGTTAATAAAAATGTATTTATAAGTTTTAATAAAAAGTTTTCATTGTTTGTCTGTCAACAGTGTGCCCCACTTCAAAGTACTTTGATTGACTGGGCTCCAGTTGGCCCGTTCAAGTTCAACTCGTTTCATCAGCTATTGGGCATCTAATTTGGGCTACCCTTAAGGCTTCCCTCACCCAGGCCTGACTGAAGTATTTGTATTGGAGCTTCTAATAAATATTAAATGCAATTTGATTGCGGTTTTCTGTTTTCAAATCAAGGCAAATACGCCTAAAGGATAAAGTTAGGAAACTATGCTCGCTGATATGCTGATATATAGCAAATCAAAAATGATAAGAATGCACAAAGTTTTCATTTTCCAGTTACCATTCTCGTCTGCAGCAACCGAGAGCAAATGATGCGAACTTTTACCTTTCTCTTACACATCATAAGTAATTCATATTATTTTCCATATCATGGCCCACGCAACAGACACCTTTAGCCGCGTTTTTCTTGGCCGTGATTATACTCATTCACGAAAGTGAATCAGTATATTGGTTTTGTGCAATGTCCGTCTTGCTGTCCGTCCGTCTGTCCGTCTGTCCGTCTGTCCGTATGAACGCAATCTATTTCGGCGCTATTAAAGCTAGAGACTTGAAATTTGGAACACATACTCGTGTATATCTCCGATTTATAAAGTGTTAAAATTTTCCCGATCCGCCCACTAGGGGCGTGGCAAATCGGAAAATGCATTTTCCGATATACCAGAAATCATGTTTGTTGAAGAGCTAGAAAGCTGAAANCACCCAAGACCAAAAAGTTTTGTCGGATATATGTCCGCCCACAGGGGGCGTGGCAAACCGCAAAAGTTTATATCTCCTAAAGTATAATAGCTAGAAGCTTCAAATTTGGATAGTTGAGTTACTGGTAGCCTCCTCTATCGATTCCCCAAAAATAATTTTTACGCCTCTTTAGGGGCGTGGCATATCGAAAAATACCCTGTAATTTTCACATTTTTTTAGGGTAAGCATTCAAACTTTGCAGTTAGGGTAACGTTATCTCTTTCTAAAAACTGACCAAAAATGAGGTGTCTACGCCCAGTTGGGGCGTGGCAAATCGGAAAAACCTGTATATTCTACAGTGTTAGAACGAAACTTAACTACTAAATTGTTGATGGGATGTGAATGAGTATTCCGCAGTCGGTTACGCCCGACTGCAACGTTCTTACTTGTTTTATTTTTATTTTGCTTATTTTGCCCTAAAGTACATCTATTTTTGCTGAAATACCCCCTAATAAGCAAAGCCGAACTGGGTATATTGCATAATGATTGATAAGGTTTGAAATAAATATTCTCAGAAATTGATTTGAAGACTATGACTAGATATTTCACATTACTCATACAATTTTGTATATAAATTATTATTTCTATAATTGTTTTTTCCATAACTCTTTCCCTTTTACGTGAATAATTCCTATTTTAACCATTTTGCCCTTTCACCTGAAATATTTTACCTAAAGTATCTCCAAGTCAGTCAGATTTAATTTATTCATCTTTACTTGCATATTTTTATTTCCATGTTATATTTTCGAACATGAATTTCAATTTAGGCTGTCGGGAAAGCGGTAAAGCTCTGCCAGCGCAAATGATTAATTGGCTACATTTGTCAACCGGTGTGAAAGCAGTTGGAAGAGGCGAGTTTGCACGTGTAAGAAAGTGTCTGAATGTCAATCTCTTTGAGAAACCATTTATTAGAACAAGCATAAGCTAAATTCGATTATTAAACAATTAATAAGCTGCAAAGGGCTAAAGAGGATTTGGCTCTTAACCACTTTACTGAGGTGTATGCAGCTATTTATATTTTAGATTTTTTGTCAACGAAAGAAATCGTAATGAATTTATAATAAGACTAGAGCGAAAGTTATACACATGTATAATAAAAGTGAAATTTCCAGTAAAATCATAAATCAGAATTAATTTTAAACTTAAAA